ATCCTAACCAGCCGGGGGCCCTGGCCTGCTCCCCGAACTCGCTGAGGAAGGCGTCCTCGAGGCGGCAGAAACAGCGGGCCTCATCGTGCCCCATCTTGCCGCAGACGACGCCGACCTGACGGCCAGTGCTACGCACGCACGGGCAAGGACCAGTAGCAGAACCTCCACCATCGGTGGAGCCCCTCTGAGCAACCCACTCACGAAGCTGTTGCGGCGAGGGAGTCTCCTGGCGTGGCTGTTGCTGCTGCTGCTGCCCACCTCCAGAACCGCCACCTCCACCGGCTGCTCCACCAGACGCCGCACCTGTGCCACCACCCCCGCCAGCTCCACTACGACCACCACCCCAAACCCCTCCGCTACCCCCGCCACCCCCACCACCCCCGCTCCCCCCACCGCCTCCACCACCTCCACCACCCCGACCCTCCTTGCGCCTCCTGTCAAACTATCATTATATGTTGTTTAGTTTTAGTCTAGGTGTTCTACAGTGTGTAGTATTTGTCCTAGCACTAAGGTAAGGGTTTGCTATATCTTGCTTGTCTCTTGTTTCCATATGCATTCTTTCTCAACCCTAGCAAGTTACCACGTTCACATGGTATAGAGCCTAGGAATCGATCTAATGGGCCCACCGCCCCGTACCCCGCCCTAGCCCGAAGCGACCTTGCCCGTAGCGCCCCGTCACCTCATAAACCGTAGCGCCTCGCCCCCCCCTTAGCGGCCCATTAGTCTTAGCCCGCGCCTCGCCCGTTCCCCCCCCCGCTCCCTGCCCGTCATCTTACCTTGCACGAGCACGCGCACGCAGCCACGTGCACACAATAAAGAGCACGCAGCCATGCGCACGCGCACGCACGCGCTGTTGCACACGCACACGCAGCTCGCACAGTCGTGCGCTGCACCTGTACCCGCAAGAGTGTCACTAGGGACGACCTCTCCCTATTCGAGCACACATCGGGGTCCCTTGAGGCCCCCAAGCCTCCAGCTGAGCCTGCTGCTGACGCTGGGGAGGAGGTGCAGCAGCAGTACCGGGCTGACCGTGTTGCCTGCACACGGTGGACGGCACGCGACACTGTCGCCCAGCTTGCTGTCCGCGCTCACCTGTCTCTCGACCAGAGGGCCCACTTTTGCCAGGTGAAATCGGCCCAAGCTTTCTACGACGCTGTGGTTAGGCGCTACTCCCCCCCCACTTCTGCCACCCTAGGCCATCTTGCGCTGCGGTTTCTCTTTCCCAATCTGTCTGAATATTCCACTATATCTGCCCTCTTGACCCATCTGCGCTCACTTGACTCCCGCTACCGTGCCGCCCTCACGCCAGAATTTCTGGCTGAGAACCAGCCCCCCATGTACGTCACCCTGTACTTCCTGACGACTCGCCTCCCTGACACCCTGCGTGCTGTTCGAGACCACTTCCTCTCCCTAGACCCCCCTAGTCTCGACCTTACCTCGTTTAAGACCCATCTCCTCGAGGCCGAGACCAGTGCCCACGCTTTTGCTGCCTCTCGTGGCACCCCCAGCACCTCCTTTTTTTAGGGGTGCGCTCCCTCCCTTCTTGCGTCCACTGCTGCCTCTGCTGCTACTGTTGAGACTCAACTGGTGCAAGAGTGCCTTGGCAAAGACGCGAGGGCCAGTGCGGTGTAACATCGTCAGGACCAAAACGCTCACAGTGAAGATCGTCGAGGCGACGGTAGCAGCGGGACGCACAGTGGTCAGGACGCCAGCAGGTAGTGCCAGCACTGGGGCAAGTCAGGATCCGGTACCCGCAGGGACCAACGTCGCGCCTACTGCTGGCTGAGCCGCTGCTGGGGCCGGTACTCCTAGGACCCTCAGGTCCCCACTGCCGGGAGTGCTGCAGCTGCGGTCGTAGCGGCTGACCCTGCTGCATCAGAACTCTAGTAGACGCCATGGTAGGTGCTAGAGACGGGCGAGCGTGGTGGGGAGCGGCTAGGAGCGCTCGGGTACGGTCTGGTGCGGTCTAGTGCGGTGGAAAACGGCTAGTAGCAGTCGGTAGCGGGGCCTACTAGTTGGGGGGTAGCTGGTGGGGCAGCGGTTACAGGTGGGGCAGCATGTACAAGTGGGGTAGCTGGTGGGGCGACTCGTTACGGGTGGGGCAGCAGGTTACGGGTGTGGTAGCTGGTGGGGCGGCTGGTTACAGGTGGGGCGGCGGGTGGGGTAGCTTGTGGGGCGGCGGGTTTCAGGTGGGGCGGCGGTTTTAGCTCGTGGGGCGGCGGGTTTCAGGTGGGGCGGCGGGTTTCAGCTCGTGGGGCGGCGGGTTTCAGGTGGGGCGGCGGGTACAGGGTAGGGCGGCGAGTTTCAGGTGGGGCGGCGGGTACAGGGGATGGGGAGGCGACGGGGAGGCGACGAAATGGGGACAGGAGGCGACGGGGACGCGAAAAGGAGGGCGACGTGAAGGGGACGGGGACGCGACGGGAAGGGCACGGGAGGCGACGCGGAGGGCGACGGGGACGCGACGGGGAGGGGGACGGGAGGCGACGGGAAGGGGACGCGGTCGCGACGTGGGGGGACCCGCTGGGGTCCCTTTCTAGTGCGATCTGGCGGGCCCGCGGGGGGCGTTCTAGGTCGCAACGTGGGGGGACCCGCGGGGGTCCCTTTCTTGCGCGATCCGTCGGGCCGCCGGGGGCCGTTCTAGGTCGTGACGTGGGGGGGAACCGCGGGGGTCCCAATCTTGCGTTATCTGGCGGGCCCGCGGGGGCCGTTCTAGGTCGTGACGTGTGACGGGCGGGGCTAGCGGGCTGACGGGTGACGCGCGAGGCTAGCGATCTGACGGGATTGACAGGTAGGGCGCTATGGGTGACTAGGCGCTACGGGTGACGAGGCACTACGGGTGACGAGGCGCTACAGGCTCGGTCGGGGTACGGGGCGGTGGGCCCATAGGATATTATCGCTCTATACCATGTTAAAGAAACAACTGGTGAATGAATGACTAGAAAGGACAATGACAAGGAAGATATAGCAAACCTTAGCCAACCCTAGCCAACCCTACACATAAATGTACACCACCTAGACTAGCAAATACAAACTATAACAGTTATAATTTGACACCAGCCCCCCATGTACCTCACCCTGTACTTCCTAATGACTCCCCTCCCTGACACCCTGCGTGCTGTTCGAGACCACTTCCTCTCCCTAGACCCCGCTAATCTTGACCTTACCTCGTTTGAGACCCGTCTTCTCGAGGCCAAGGCCAGTGCCCACGCTGTTGCTGCCTCTCGTGGCACCCCCAGCACCTCCTTTTGTTAGGGGTGCGCTCCCTCCCTTCTCGCGTCCTCTGCTGCCTCTGCTGCTACTGTTGACCTCCTTGGTGCTGAGGAGGACGGCGCTATGTCCGCTCCTAGCGGGAGACGCGGCAGCAGCGGTGGGCGTAGGACGAATTTGGGTTGTTGGGGTGATGGAGGTGGCTGTGGCGGTGGGGGGGGGGCAGGGGTGGTGGGGGTGGCGGGGGTGGCGGAAGGGGTGGGAGTGGTAGTAGTGGTGGAGCTGGCGGGGGTGGCGGGGGTGGAGCAGTCAGTGGAGGAGGCGGTTCTGGGGGTGGGCAGCAGCCGGTAGAGACTCCTTGCGTCAAGGGTTGGCAGCGCGCTGCCCCTCACTCCTCTTCGTTCCCTCCCACCACGGCTCCCTTACAGACCTTTGTTACAATACTGACTTAGCAGGTAACCGGGTTTAACGAGGGCCTAGGCTTTGGAGCCTAGGCCAAGGGTATCGAGAGTAGCGAGCCAATGGGGAATTGAGAATGGTTGTGTTCACTATAGGACCAAAGGTACATATATCAAACTAACAAGGGCGCACCACCAATGTTAAGAAGACATAACTACACTAAAGCTAAAGCAACAGGCAGTTATACATATATATGAAATATAAATCGCAACAAACCCCCTTAACTGCTTGCAGCACACAGCTAGAGTAGGTCACACCCCCTGAAGGGGATTAGCAGGCGCAGTGGAAGACGGCAGAGTGGTAAGTGAGGAGGAGGAGGCGAGAGAGAGAGAGAGAGAGGAGAGGAGAGGAGATAAGAGCGAAGGAGGAGGTGAGTGAAGGATGAGGAGAGGAGGTGGGGGGGTAGCCGCGGCGATCCCCTCTTACTAACCCCCAATTACAAAAGGGGGGGTGAGTGAGGGATGAGGAGAGGAGGTGGGGGGGTGGCCGCGGCGATCCCCTCTTACTAACCCCCACATCCCCACCCCCAATCAACCACCCCCCTTTAACCTCACCCCCCATTTCAGCCGCCCCCTGGAACCGCACTCCCTCCCCCCCTTCCTTCCTCCAGACCCCTCCCCACCCACGGTGGTCCCTGCATAGTCCTTCACACGGCAGCCAGCCCCCCCACACTCCCGTCCCCGCCACCTTCCCCCCACAGCAGCAGCCGCGGGAGGGGAGAGGCAGGGCGGAGGGTGGTTCTGCAGTGGCTCACGGCGGCCACCATTTCCACACCACCTCCCCCCCAACAGCCGCAGTCGCAAAGGGGAAGGCGACGGGGGAGGGGAGGGTGCGGCGGAGTGCTGCTGGCGCTATCACTGGCGGTCGCGGGTGTCGCTGGCGTTGTCGCTGCTGGCGGTCCCGCCACGCCCTTCCCCCGTCCCTCTCCTCCCCTACAGCGACTGTCGCTGCACACGGGAACAGCCGCGACAGGTGGTGACGAGAAGGGGCCACGACGGGGAAAGAGGAGGCGACGAGAGGCGACGGGGACGGCGGCAAGGACTGCAGGTGCTGCTGGCACAGCTGTTGCGGTTGGCGCTGGCTTGCGTCACTGTCGCGGCTGACGCTGGTCAGCGCAGATGTAGCTGCTGGTGCTGGTCGTTGGCGGCTGGCAGCTGTTGCGGCGGGCTGCTGGCGTGCTCGTTGGCGGGTCCGACGGCGGGTCCGTCGGCGGGTTCGTTGACAGGTCCGGCGGCAGGTTCGTTGGCGTGCTTGCTGGCGGGTCCTTCGGCGGGTGATGCACGGGGGCGAGGCGATCGACGGGGTAATGCAGCGCGGGCAGACTCGCGGATCCGATGACGGGTTCGCCGACGGGCTCGCTGATTCGCTTGCTGGTAGGATCGCAGGTACGTTGGCTCACTGCTGGCGATGTCGCTGGCGATTTCGCTGGTTCTCCTTCTCTATCCGCCCTTCTTCCTCTCTATCCACCCTTCTTCCTCTCTATCCGCCTTTCTTCCTCTCTATCCGCCCTTCTTCCTCTCTATCCGCCCTTCTTCCTCTCTATCCGCCCTTCGTCCTCTCTATCCGCCCTTCTTCCTCTCTATCCGCCCTTCTTCCTCTCTATCCGCCCTTCTTCCTTTCTTTCCGCCCTTCTTCCTCTCTATCCGCCCTTCTCCCTCTCTATCCGCCCTTCTTCCTCGAGGCCTCTCCCAACCTTACCTCTAAAGCCATTCCGCATCTCATTCCGCCCTGAACCGCCATTTTGCCTCTCATTCCGCTCTACACCGCCTTTCCCATCCCATTCCGCCCTCTACCGCCTTTACCCCTCCCATTCCGCCCTCTACCGTGTATACCCCTCCCATTCCGCCCTCTCCCGTGTTTACCCCTCCCATTCTGCCCTCTATCGCCTTTACCCCTCCCATTCCGCCCTCTACCGCCATTTCCCATCCCATTCCGCCCTCTACCGACTTTCCGCCTCCCATTCCGCCTCCCTTTTCACCCGCTACCGCCTTTCCGCCTCCCGTTCTGCCCTCGCGTGTCATTCCGACTCGCCTATCGCCATGCACAACCTCCCCCTCTCGTCATTCCGCATCTCATTCCGCACTTTACAGCCATTTCACCCGTCATTCCGCCCTCTACCGCCTTTACCCCTCCTATTCGACCTCTATCGCCTTTCTGCCCCTCATTCCTCCCTCTACCGCCTTTCCGCTTCCCAATCTGCCCTGGCCCGCCATTCCCCCCTCCATTCCGCCCTCGCGTGTCATTCCGACTCGCCTACAGCCATGTAAAGCCTTTTACCTTGTAGCATAACCTCTCTCTAAAGCCTTTCCGCGTTTCATTCTGCCATGTACCGCCAGCTTGCCTCTCATTCCGCCCTATACCGCCAGCTTGCCTCTCATTCCGCCCTATACCGCCAGCTCGCCTCTCATGCCGCCCTCCTTCACCCTTCTTCCTATTATTCCGCCCTCTAGAGTCCTTCCGACTCGCCTTCCGACATGAAGCGCCATTTCGCATCGCATTCCTCCCTCTATGGCAACGATACGAATTTCAATCCGCCCTATACCGCCATTTCGCATGTCATTCCGCACTCTATCGCCATTCCGCCTATCATTCCGACATGAACCGCCATCCCATGGCTCATTCCACGCTGTACCGCCATTCCGCCTATCATTCGGCCATTTACTGCCATAACGTCTTTGGGCAACTCTGCGCCTGGGCACCAGTCCCCGTGCCCCCAATATGAATCCACGCTTCTAGATTTTCGAAACACTGGAGGGCGTCACAGCAATCAGGTCTGTGCTTACGCTCACCTGAAGACTATTCCAAGGACGATGAGTCTGAGGAACCCTAAAGCGGGAGGACAGTGGACCTCAGTCTACTTACTGTAGAGAAGTGTACGATTGATTTGCGACCAAGGGGGAGCTGTTCTGGTCTGCCTGCGTTTTTGTTTCCTTCGTTTGGGTTTGTCGCACATATCACAAACCTGCCCAACGAAGCTACGGCTGGCTCCAAACCTGACCCTGAGGTTGTGTTGGTGCTTTGCTGTCACGGGTTTTCGCCTAAGTCTTTTCCCCAGCTCGTCACAAATTTCGTCATCTGCCACCCAATCAGAGTGGCCTAAACCAAACCAAGTGTTAAACGCTAGAAATTATGAGACGCGAGCTTTAAGATTCGAAACCGCGTCAGGGGAAGAATTGAGTGAACTTTCTAGTGTTGTGAGTGAATACATCGTGCTCTATGAAATTATAATGTGTTCAGGGGTCTTAATAAATATCCCCCTTGGTATTGTTCACCTAATCAATTTTCACAACATTTCTGATAAGACTCCCGGGTCCTATATACGGGAGATGACGGTACATTCAATCTGTTTACTTTTTATTGAAGGCACATAACAACTGAAGATTTCCATAACAATTATATCTTTGTGCACTGGAACGGAAACCTCTTTTGCGGGTCAAGTTGATCCCCAAACCATCGCAAGCCTCTGCTTCTTGGAAGGAGTAAACGAAATCCTTTTTTACAGAGCAGTAACTGTAGCATCCTATAGCAATCACGCGATTGGCTTTGAGAAAGTTTTTTGGATGAAGTCGAAATGCTTCGACCAATAAAATCGTTCGCGAGGGTGGCGTCGAAATTTCGATGATGCTGCTGTTCAGTGATTCCCGAGCCGCGAATCCAGAAAAGCCACTAGCAGGTAAGTTTAGGAAAGTTACTCTCTCGCAATCCCTAAAAAACATCTCACCCCGACCTCACACATTTTGGGATGAGAAAGGGACGCGAAGGCACGGGAAGGGGCGGGAAGGCACGGGAAGGAACGGGAAGGGACGGGACTGCACGGGGAGGGGCGGGAAGGCACGGGGAGGGACGGGAAGGGAGGAGGGACGGGGAGGGACGGGGAGGGACGGGGAGGGACGGGAAGGCACGGAGAGGGACGGGAAGGGGAGTGGAGGGACGGATCGGGGCGAGATAGGATAGAAATGGGAGGGAAGTGTTGGGTAGGGGGGAACGGAACAGAACAGGGAGTTTGAGAGACGGGAAGGTTCGGGACGACGGGAACGGACGGGGAGGGAGGGACACGACTCGGCGGGACGGGAAGGTGGGGGAAGAAGAGGGGAAAGGAACAGAGCGGCGGAAAGGGTGGTGCGCAAAAAATAGAGGTAGACGCACAAGGTCTCCTCATCCGCCCCATCCCCCATCCCCCTTTCCCTTCCCCCTATCCTCCTTTCCTTTCCCCCAAGTCCTTTTTCTTCCCCCCAACCCCCATTCCCAACCTCCCAGCCCATGCTGATCCCAACCCATACCGCATGCTGCAGCAGCACGGCAGGCAGTACGTGCCGTTGTGTGGTGGCTGCTGCTCATCTTCCTGCTCCAGCCCTCCCTATCCACGCCCTCTTCTGCACCTGGACCCAAACCACTTGGTCTGTCTCCCCCCTCCCCCCAAGCGCAGTTCGTTTGAGACCAGTTTGCCTGATGGCAAGATAGCAGCACCTTCTTTTCGCAGTTGCGCCGCGTTCGTCGCCGCGTTTCTCACTGCACCGCGAGCGAATGGGCGACGACGTCAGAAACCTCGCGGTCGCGCCCGCTGTCGCCCTGCTGTTGGTCATCGCGTATCTCATCAGCTCCGCCGCCGCCTTTCGTTTCAAGCCTCCCGAGCCCCTCTCAGGTGTGCCACTGCCTCCGGTGTGAGACCGCTCCTTCTCTCTCTCATGCGCCGCATACGCGTCTGTGCTCGGCCTCGCGCTCGCCCTCGCGCTCGCGCCCACCCTTCCTCGCACGAGCCTTGCATTCCTTCTGCTTCCCCTCGCTCTGCGACCCCTCCCGCCCTGCCACTCCTCTTTTCACCCTCCTCCTTTCCACCGCTCCCCACTGCTCTCATCCGCGGTCCCCCCGCCGCCCCCACCACATCCGCCCTCTCCGCTCCCCTCCAAGCAGGCGTGGTGCGAATCAACTGCGGCAGCAGCGAGGCGCTGACTATCAACGGCCACAAATGGCGCGCCGACGCCTTCTACGATGCGGGGAGGCCCTTCCGCATCCCCCCCTCCCCTCCCCTCTCCCCCACCCGCCTCGCCTCGCCCGTGGAGGCCACCCTGCGCGCCTTCCCCCACGGGAACAGCAACGGCGGCTGCTACACGGTGCCGCTCCCCGTGGACGCGCGCTACCTGGTGCGCGTGGGCGTGGCCTACCGCAACTACGACGGCGCCCTCCGCCCGCCCGCCTTCCACATGGCCGTCAACGGGCTCATCCTGAGGACGGTGGTCATGGCCGTCTCGGAGCAGCACTTCCCGCTCTCCGCCTTCTACTCCGAGTTTGTGGCGTTCGCCCGCCAGGGGCGCATCTCCGTGTGCTTCCTGCCGCTGCTGGGCGTGGTGGCGGCGCCCCCCCAGGTGAACTCGCTGGAGCTGCTGCCCGTGCACCCTCTGGCGTACGGTGGCGCGGTCACGGGCCGGGACGTGGTGGTGGTGCCGCTGCTGCGCCACAACCTGGGCGCGACAGGGATGGTGGGTGGTGGGACAGGGGGCGGGGCAGGGGACGTGGTTCCTGCGATGCAGGCAGGCAGGATGGGAGGGGGGAGCGCAGTGGCAGGGACAGTGGGGAGGGTGGCGGAACTAGAAGGTGAAGAGGCGGAAGCAGCGAATGAGGGAGGGGTGGCAGGAGGGACAGGAGAGGTGGAGCGGGCAGCTGAATCGGCAAAGGAAGGAAGGGGGTTGCTGGAGGAAGGGGAGGGGAAAGGGCACGGCGGTGGAATGGGTGAGGGAGGGTGGGCGGAGGAGGACAGGGCATTCAGGGTGTGGGGGCGCGACTTAGCTCCCGCATGGGGGGCCGTGCCTGCTACCATGGCTCTGCTGTCAGGTGCTAGTAGTGATGCCAGTGGTGGCAGCAGTAGCAGCAGCAGCAGCAGCAGCAGCGTTGGGACGAATGCAACACTGACGGATAGCAGCAATTGGGTTACACGCGGGCATCCGTTCAAAGTGGTAACCACATCCAGACGAATTGCTGGTGCTGACGTGGCACCGGACTACATTCCCTCTGCAGTGTTCCAGTCAGCGTGGGAGGGAGCAGTGGAGGAGAGGGCAGGCGATGGTGGAGAGAAAAGTGCGGGGGGGCAGCTGGAGTGGGGGGGCAGGAGAGGAGGAGGGCTGGTGTGCTGGGCCAACAGCACCAGAGGTGGCGGCAGCAGCAGTGGGGAGTGGGAAACGTGCGTGGGGTCGGTGGGGTTCGCAGTGCGACTGGATCCGGTGAATCTGCTGGACGTGCTCTGCCTGCGCCTCTTCTTCGCTGAGCTCGACCCCCTCGTTGCTGCTGGCGACCGGCGCTTCGACATCCGCCTGGGCGCCATGAGCGTGCTGGGCGTGGGGGAGGGGGAGGGGCAGGGGGAGGGGCAGGGGGAGGGGCAGAGGGAGGGGCAGGGGGAGGGGCAGGGGGGTGCGGAAAGGGAGGGGGAAGACGAGGAGGCAGGGGATGAGCGGAAGTGGAACGGGACGGCGGGGGAAGGGAAGGGGGAGAGGGAGAGGAGAGACTCGAGAGTCGAGGGGGTGAGAAGGGTGGAAGAGAGAGGAGAGGGGGAGGAGGAGAGAGCAGGGAGTGAGGGAGGCACAACAGATGATGAGGGCGAGACAGCAAGCAGAGGAGGCGCTACGAGGGTGGAGGCGGGACGGGAGTCCTCACAGGGAAGAGGAGGTGCGGTGAGATGGCGGGGGCGTGGGGAAAAGTTTCAACGGCTGAGCTCTCGCATGGGCATGGAAAGTGGTGTGGAGGTGAATGCGGAGGACGAAGGGGCGGAGGAAGGTAAGGGAGGGCACATGATGGACACTGAGAGGGAGAGAGAGGAGGATGCAAGTAGTGGGAGGAGGAAGCTTGTGCAGCATTGGGAAGGAGCTAGAGAAAGCAGGGGTCGTACGAGGGCGAATGCGGGGCGAGAGTCAGGAGTCGAAGCAGCACTCGTTCAAGGCACGGAGGAGGAAAGGCGAGAGAGCAGAGGAGAGGAAGAGGAGGAGGGTGGGAGTGGAGCACATAGCACACACGGGGCTGGACAAGCGGAAGCCAGTGGTGCATGGCAACGTGGTGCTGGACGCCCTCAAGAGCGTGAGTGAGAGCGGTGAGTTCGACACGGGTGGCGGCGTGGGCACTCCCGTCAACTGGTACCGCAACTTCCTCGACTTCCGCCTCCGCGAGTTCCTCTTCGGCCCGCAGCCACGCCCCTGGAAGCAGGAGCGCCAGCAGCTGCTGCGCTGGAAGCAACCGCAAGTGCTGGGACGGTGGGAGGGGCAGCATGAGAAGAAGGCGGAGGAGCAGATGGAGGAGGTAGAGGATGTGTTTGATGGGAGCAACCCGCTGTTGGCGCGGGACTGGAGCGGCACGGGCTTTGACATCCTGGTGGCGGCCAACGGGTCGCACAACGCGGCGGTGGTGGTGCAGCTGTGCTTCAACTTCACGCGCTACGCGCAGCAGTACGGCCCCCACCTCGCCCTGCTGCTCACCCCCATGCGCGGCTCCAAGCGGCCGCCGCTGCTGGCGGGAGTGGAGGTGGTGGAGATGGTGAGGACGCCCCCTGGCGGCCACGTGCCCCGCGGTCAGTGCTGCCTTGCTGTCACTGCACACGCACATGCACATGCACATGCACATGGATATGGATATGGATATGGATATGCACATGCACATGCACATGCACATGCACATGCGCAGGCGCAGGCGTAGGCATAGGCACATGCACATGCAAACGCACATGCACAGGCACGGGCGCATGCATATGCACATACATGCACCTGCACATACCTCCACATGCACATGCGCATGACATGTGATTTGAGAATCACAAGTGCATGGCGGACTGTGGTGTGTGCCACAGGCACGCCTAGCCCGTGCAGATTGTGAAGTACCAGGGGGGTGTGCCTGATGAGGCATGAGCTTGAACGGGTGTGTGCTTAAAGAGGTGTGTGTTTTGAAAGGGTGTGTGTCTAAAGAGGTGTGTGTTTTGAAAGGGTGTGTGTCTAAAGAGGTGTGTTTTTTGAACGTGTGTGTGCCTAAAGAGGTGTGTGTTTTGAAAGGGTGTGTGCCTAAAGAGGTGTGTGTTTTGAACGGGTGTGTGCCTAAAGAGGTGTGTCTTTTGAACGGGTGTGTGCCTAAAGAGGTGTGTGTTTTGAACGGGTGTGTTCCTAAAGAGGTGTGTGTTTTGAACGGGTGTGTGCCTAAAGAGGTGTGTCTTTTGAACGGGTGTGTGGTGTGTGTTTTGAAAGGGTGTGTGCCTAAAGAGGTGTGTGTTTTGAAAGGGTGTGTGCCTAAAGAGGTGTGTGTTTTGAACGGGTGTGTGCCTAAAGAGGTGTGTCTTTTGAACGGGTGTGTGCCTAAAGAGGTGTGTGTTTTGAACGGGTGTGTTCCTAAAGAGGTGTGTGTTTTGAACGGGTGTGTGCCTAAAGAGGTGTGTCTTTTGAACGGGTGTGTGGTGTGTGTTTTGAAAGGGTGTGTGTCTAAAGAGGTGTGTGTTTTGAACGGGTGTGTGCCTAAAGAGGTGTGTGTTTTGAAAGGGTGTGTGCCTAAAGAGGTGTGTGTTTTTAACGGGTGTGTGCCTAAAGAGGTGTGTGTTTTGAACGGGTGTGTGCCTAAAGAGGTGTGTGTTTTGAACGGGTTTGTGCCTAAATACGTGTGCCTTAAGGTGGCTCAAAACAGCTGTCTTCTGGAATAGAGCTAATGGCGCTCAGGGGAAGTGTCCACATGAGCTGCATTGACGAGTGAGTGAGAGTGCCTTCTTGTATGAGTTTGCGGGTGCAGTAATGATGGGTGTGAGTATGAATGTGAGGGTACAGAGGTTGTTCTGCATAAGCATGTTTGTGCATGAAAGGAGGGAAAGAGAAGAGAGTGAGTGCTGGTAGTTGTAGGACTAGGTGTGTGCATGTTGACAAGTCCTCTTTTCATGGACATGGTGCGCTGAGATTGATGCATGTGCTCCAACATGACCACCTCACATTGCCTCTCATGGCCTTCAGGCACAAGGCACCATGTATCAACTCTAACTCTTTTTGACGTTCTAAACTTGCTCACGTGCCACAAGAAGGAGGACATTCATATGAGAGGTTCTTGGTTCTTATTTTCCCACCCCTGCCTTGCCTTACGCCGCCTGCCGTCATGCCCTGACCTAACATTTGCAGTGGAACCATTGCTGCTCTGGCAGTCTCACATGCTATCATGCACTGCACTCCACTCACACCCTTCACCAATGTCTTTCTTCCTCCCAACCGCCCGTCATCACTTCCCTACCAGGCAGCATGGCAGCCACATTGTACCTCTCGGCCTTGCCTACCTCGCTCTCATGCATTGTCCGCCACCATCACCCCTCCCCCCTCGTGTCTCTCCCCCCCTCTCCCCCGCTCTGCCCAACGACATAGCAGCCATGATAGTGCTGCTCGCCCTCGCCTACATCGCCCTCAAGCTCGCCCCGCACTGCCGTGGCTCTGCCTCTCACTTCCCCTCCGCACACCTCCCCTTCACACGCCTCCTCTCGGGACCCATTAAAGGTGCGACTGCGTGGTGAGTTTGCAAGGCGTGCGCATGCACGCTGTCATGCCTCGAGCGCTTACCTAGTGTCTTGGCATCAGACTTCCAGCTCCGAAGCTCCGAAACTCTGCAAGTGGTTTTGGGATATGTTTCCACAATCTTCCACCTTTGATCTGAATTTGTGTTGCATTCTCTATTGGGCCTTCCGACTGCGCTGACTTCGAAGTGATTGAATTTCAATGTTCCAATCATTACTGTGACCATTCGTCCTGTGCTCCTCTCTCGTTGCTGTTCCTGCAGACCGACATATCCAGTGACTCTGAAGCAATTGTTGCCGAAATACCTTGACTTGTTTGAGCCTTTTTTGCTTTCGAGATTTTTTTGCCATTGTTGCCAAGCCCAACACCATATTGTTTATGGAGGTATATACACTCTACACAACTTTCTCATGTCCCCTTCAACACACTCTACTTGTCAGACACCGTACGAGCAAGGGAGTTGTGGGCAGCTTGTTGCAGGTTGGGGAACAAGCGTTGTGTCTCTTGAAAGGACTTCGTTGACGGACAAGTCTAGTGTTGTTCGTCTTAGGGTACCATACATTCCTGCGAGCTAGAGTCTCAAAAGGACGTGTCTCAACTCAATTGCTGGGCTGAGAAAAAGCCTTAGGATCTTTTTAGAGTTTAGATGAGAGGCAAATGGCTGTCGTGGAAGATCTGCTTCGGGACACAGCAAGCAGACGTATCGCGGTTGACGAAGCTCCTGTCCACCTGCAGCTTTGTCAAGTACTCCTGCCCTTATAGTATTGTAAGTCGTTGTGCCGCTTGGATGTCCAAGACGTTTATGCCAGATATCTTCTGATGTTGCATGTCCTGATGTTCGCTGATACAGGTCTGAGTTGGCGTAAAAAACGTTGAAGACTGCAGGACTCTGATGAAGTTCTGTTGTGACTGTATCGCGTCGAGAACCAGGAGTGTTGATAACGAGAGGAACTGTTGACTGTGAAGATGTTGAAGGTAGGGACGGATGTTGTATCTGTGCTGCTGCTTCTTCACTTGTATTTTCTGCTGCTCGTGGAGTTCCCGCTCTTCCAGTTTCTGAAGCGATTGGTGTGATGTTCTCCCGCTGGACTCCAAGATGATCTGGTTTGGTGCTAATCTCATTGGGGTGACAGTCTGTCCAAGAACCAAAGGCAATGATTCGGTCGCTGTCTACTGAAGTCCCATCCTCTTCGACGTTGAGTACGAACACTCCATCTTGCTGTACTGCTTTTGCGACGTAAACCCCCCCCCCTTGAAGAATATAACTTTTTTTCTCTGTTGCTGTCGCATTCCAGGTGTAATCCGCGTCCCATCAACTGACTGATACTGAGAAGATTGTAGCCGAGACCAGGCACGATGAGGACGTTGAAGAGTCGAATGACTGTGTTTGTCTCCGGCGACTGAAGAAGAACTGTGACGTGGTGTCGGGTACGTAAAGTCTGATTGTTGGGGACTGTAACTGTAACAACGTGATGAAGTCGTGTTTCATGCTTGACGAAGAATCCGTTGTTAACGTCTGATGTGCATATGTGTTGTCCGCAGCAGCTGTCAAGAAACCTAACACTCGGACCGTATTCTGCGGTAGCTGTAGTGCTAGCGTACTGTGGATTGACTTGAAGATTTGTCGGAGTCGCTTCCGGAGCTTCATCTGGTGCAAAGGTTGGAGGTGAGCCTAGTACGCATGAGTGAGTACGTGTCATCCGAGCCTGTACGTTCCGCCCTTTTGCTGGTGCTGACGTAGTCTGTGTTTTGCTTTGTGCGGCTGATGCAGTGGTGGCGGCAACCTGTTGAGGAGCAGCAGTAGGACGCTGAGGTGTTGTGTGCTGACGCTGAGGACAATGATCCCGAGAGTGTCCAGAGGTTTTACAGTTGTGACAAAAACGAGGTACGGAATACTGCTCCTGCTGTTGTCGCGGCTGCTGTTGTCGCTATTTCTGCTGCTGCTGCTGAAAATGTTTCTGTCGCTGCTGCTTCGGCGGCTCCACTTGACTGTGTGTTACGAAGGCAAACTGATTAACCTTCGTGTTGCCTTTGCTGTCATACAGATCCATGTCTTATTGTTCAGCGAAGAGCGATGCGCAGATTTGGATCTCCGAAACATTGCCTTGAGTGCGGAGAGGAGAGCGCGTTTGACGCCACTGAGGTCCAAGTCCAGCAATGACAACTGTCAGGAACATAGTTTCAGGGAAGTTGCCACCGCTTTGAACAAAATGGTCACGTAGCTCTCTGCATCTGTTGATGTACTGCACTGCATGCTCTCCTGTCTTCATTTGCACGTTATTTAACTGCGACATGAGTCTTCTCTGTGTAACACAGTCTGTCGACTGATAAAGCCGCTTCAAATGTTGCCATGCTAACTCCGCTGAGTTTACAGATTCACTGTATGATCTGATGCCTTGTTGTTCTGTAAGTGACAGGCTACGAAGAAGAATCGTAAATGCCATCATCGACTGGAAGGCGAAACCGCGTTGCTGACCTGCGGTGCCGTTGACTGGAAACTGAATCTCTCTAGTGAATTATTCCCAAATTTGCGCTGCCTCCATCATGAGTTCAAACTCAAAACTCCAAGCAAAAAAAATATTTTCCGTCGAAGGGTCTTGAAGTATGAAACTTCAAGATGTTTAACATCTGCGTCTGGTAGTTTGTAGCGTCTCTCACTCCGAAACCATCTCCATCATGTTGTTGGTGTTGTTGTTTTTGTTGCTGTTGAGCAGGTGAACTGCGAGTTACGAACGCGTATGTGGCCCGCGATTGCTGTCGAGGCGGAGCACGGTAAGAAACCGGTTGATGTTGTATGTATGATGTTCCGTCGATACTGATAGTTGTTGTCCCGTTGTTCACTGATGCTGATGCTTGTGGTACTTGCTGTGCTTGAGGTACTGACCTTATATATGCTGATATTGCTTGATACACTTGTTGTTGTATCGCAGGATCAAGACCTGCTGCGCCGTCTCCTGTAGCAGCATTAAACGTGAAGGACGGGGACAATCCTCCATCACCTCCTGGTCCAGTTGCTGATGCAGCTGTTGGAGCAGGGCTGGCAAAGGTTACTCCTGTGAAACCAGAGCCAGGTAGTGGTGGTGCAGAGGGCTGCTGCGTACTACCACCTCCACTTTGCAAGTGGGATTTTCCGTTGTTGCCCGAAGCCATGATTGTAAGTTAGCCCTTTACTAAAGAAAAATGTATGAAACTATGAGTTGTAAAAACTAGGAGGTCGTAAACTCTCCTGCTCTCATACCATGTTGGGCTGAGAAAAAGCCTTAGGATCTTTTTAGAGTTTAGTCCTTGTAAAGTAATGCAGCAGAAGTCTTGAATTCTTGTGCTGGTTGGGTGTGAGAAACAGAATTGAATGAGAAATAAAAGATACAAAAGGTTTATAGTCTAAAAGGTACCTATTCAGTAAAAGTTGTTCATGATCGAATCGACTCTATGAAGCGGTATGTTGCTGTGTCATGCGAACAGTCACGAGACTGTTCGCACTACTACCTCTAACTCACGCGAAGAGACACTTGCTACTGTAACATCCACACATAATAATACTACGATACTACTGTAGTGTTTCATACTATCGAACTACTGAATTGTATAAGTATTTCGATTTACTTCCAACACTCCCCTTCAATTCTGGAGTTCGATATTGCAAATGTTGTTGGTGACGTGGCCGAGTCCAGTCTGCAGCATGCAGTACTGGAACTTCGGACGAGGAAGTCGCTCGGTCAAGAAATCAACGGCCATTTTGCTCGTGGGACAGTATGCGAGCTGTAACTTGCCTTGCTCGAATTCGTCCTCGACGACAAAGTAGCGTAGCGAGATGTGCTTAGTTCGGTTGGCGGAACCGGACTTGTTCGCGATGCGAATTGCTGACTGATTGTCGCAGAAGAGTGAGAACTGCGACACATCTAATAACTTAGCTTCATTGAGTAACTCCCGAAGGTAGAGTCCTTCTTTCGTTGCAGTGCAGGCAGCGATGAACTCTGCCTCAGCTGACGAAAGTGCAATCATCTCTTGCTTGCACGACTGCCAGGAAATTGTACCGACGGGCTCAAGGCGAAAAATATAGCCCCTAAGTGAGCGTCTGTTTGCAGTATCACCCGCATGATTTGAGTCTACAGAGCCGAGTAGAGATAGCGGCGACTCCGGCGGCTTATGATACGCCAGTCCAATAGTAGACGTAGATACGAAGTACAAAACTGCTGCTTCCAACTCCCGTAGGTTCTCCTCTTCAGGTCGCTTAAGAAACTGAGCGAGCTGGCTAGCCGAATAGGCCAAATTTGGACGACAGGTTACAGCTGCGAAGAGAAGACTACCGAGGAGTTGATGATAGCGAGTAACACCAGCAGATGAGAGAGGCTCAGATTCAGTTGCTTGAGTAGAACGGAACGGAGTCACGGAGGTAGTGATCGGTAGAGGATATCGTTTCAGCAGCTTCTCGGCATACTTGTCGGCAGAGAGGTGAATAGCAGTGGGTATCTCATTGGTGTTAAGGCCGAGATACCAAGTAACGTAGGTCGAAATCGTAATCGTCAGATTAGTTTGAAGCTCCCCTTCAAAGTAAGAAATGATGTCGGCAGTGCTGCCGATGTAGAGTAAATCATCGAGATAGACGACGAGAGGTACGAATGCAGCTTCGCGGTCTATGATTTAAGTATTTCGATTTAAGTGTTAGCTGTACACCCCTACTTTGATTCCTCAAAGTGCTCCTTCATATCACAGAATTTTCACAATAGAGCCCAAAATCACTGACTGTTCAGCGTACCGGTAATCAATATCTTTCGCGCTGACAAAATACGGTAGGAGTTGGTCAGAAGCCTTGTCCAGTACTAACCAGGGCTTTTTTTGTTACAATATGAAGTGTTGTGAGAATGCATTCCTGAACGTAATAGAAGCAAGCAAAACGGTAATACCCCGGATATAAGCACAGGTGCGCTTATAATAAATAAGTGTTTTTTAGTAGGGTGCGCTTCTAATTGAGTAATTTCTATAAGCGCATGCGCCTATAAATGGGTGAAAATGAAATTTAGTTGTAAACATACCAAATTGAAGCACACAATAAGGCGAACACATCCGAATGAAATTCACGTGGGATCGTGCATGAGTTCCAGACGAAAACAGCCGCAATTCGATTTCCCACCACACAAAAAGCGTCCAGAAGCATCGTACCTGCTTGCGCTGACGCGAAAGTTGCAATGCGGCCCAATCACATCGTCATGCGTTGCCAGGCAGGTGCAATCCATCCGAACCCTCTAGAAGGGGGTGGAATATGCCATGCCAGCGGAGCATGTATGGTGCCTTTGCGGGTTCAGACAGGGAGTTTCGCGTCTGTCATTGACGAGGACCCCGAGCCGCCAACCTGGCGGGGTCCCCTCCGTTTTTCGTTTCTGCACCCCCACTTTCACATTTTCATTCAGTTTCCTACTCCAGCCCGCCTAGCTGGCAAAGCCATGGCGGAATTCACCGGGACCCATTTCCTCTCCAAGAAAAAGCCGCGACTTACCGACGACGGGTGGTATACCCGTGAGCCTCTAGAGCCTCCTGGGCCACCAGCGCCTCCAGCGCCACCTGCACCCCATGCTCCTCCTGCTCCTCCTGCTAATCCCGCTCCTCCTGTTCCTACGAATCCTTTTGCGACAAGTACTGCATACACGGACAGTCGACCCGTGCTCCAGCTCCTGCTGCCAGCGACGTTCGATGAGTGGTTGTTTGAACCTGAACCAAACAATCCACCCCGATGAGTACGTCGCTGTTCCGTCGCCGGCACCACATTGAGGCCAGCCTAAAGACTGCACCTGGGCGAGTCGGCCATGGGCGCCGACGACGCTGTGGCCGCCGACGACCAGCACCGCGGCGACGGTGAAATGGGCGCCACCGGCAAACGGGCACCGAGGCTGGCACAGAGGCTGATGTGTTTCCCGAGGGTGGTACCAGCGCCGCGGACGACGACGACGTCAAGCATTGGTCGCGTGATGGCTTACCTGAGACGCTGCCAATTCCGTCTTATCCACCGATAAAAAAAAAACGTCCCCACCCTTCTTCTGAGAACCGTGATTCCCGCCCCCCTTCTCCCAGGCACAAGACGACGCAGCATAAGCGCAACTCCTATACCCCCAAGGTGAAGCTCAAGTGGCTCTTGCATGTGGAGGTTGCAGCATCCGTAAGCGAGGTGGCGCGAGAGTCCGGCATCCACCAAAAGTGCCTGACCGAGTGGAAGACCCAGGCAGAAGCTCAAGGACTCCCACAGCGCACGCAAGCAACTTCATGGGCGCGGAAGATCATCGTGGTACATGCCGTTGGAGATGAAATTACCACGACTGGCAGCGCAGGGGTGTAGCAGTTTCAGTCGGCCGCCTGCAGGAGTGGTCTCGCGAGGTGATGAAGGTTCTCTTTCCGGATGTGAAGTGGAAGGGAGCCAGCGGTGGTCGGAGCGGTTCTGCAAGCGGTGGAACCTCAGCATGCGCATGAAAACAAAGGTGTCTAAAAAAACCGCCGAACGTAAGTGCCATGTTCTTGTCGAATTCGCACTAATTCGCCATAATTTTGTTATGTTTGTTCGTTTTTCCTATGGTTGTTACTCTGTTACTAATTCGGTTTCCTCTGTGTCCCTTCCTCCCCACCCGTAGACGTCGCGGACAAGTGCAAGGAGTTCTGGAAGTTTGTTCGCGGAGCGCGTCGTGAGTACGACATCGACGACAGGTACATCATCAACGCCGACCAGACGCCGCTGTGGCTGGAGATGCCGGCGACTACCACTGTGGAGCAAACGAGCGTGAAGTTGGTGCCCATCCGGAGCAGTAGTTACCATAAGGAAAGGGTCACCGTGATGCTGGCGTGCACGGCAACGTGGAAGAAGCTGAAGCCGTGGGTGTTTTTCAAGAGCAAGACCGTGCCGAAGGGAGACTTCCCAAACGGTAAGCTCTACTGTTGAGTTCATTGTGCTTCTGTTTTTGTTTTATTATAAATGGTAAACTAACGGCCGTTTGTGATTATCCGCAGATGTGGTCGTGGGCTGCCAAGAGAACGGATGGATGGACACCGTGAACGTCATTCGGTGGCTCGACGAGGCCGTTGTGCCCTTCATCAAGCCGAAGTTCGGCGTGCGGGCGAGGAGCGCGATGCTCGTCCTCGATTCCTACCGTGGTCACCTGACGGACGACGTGAAGAAAACGTTCGCCGAGCTCAACATCGTGCCGGCGGTCATCCCGGGGGGATGTACGCCGGAGGTGCAGCCCCTTGATGTGTCGGTGAACAAGAGCTTCAAGGCCAGCGTGCGCCAGCAGTACCAGACCTGGTTCGAGCAAGATGGCATGGGCACCCTGAAAGCAGCAGGTGAGCGACATGGTGTCTATACAAAGGCGAGTGCGTTGCTTTCCCCGCTCTATTGTTCTAACCCGGTTCCCCCCTCTCTTTCATGTGGTGCAGGCAACATCAAGAAACCGCCACCCGGGGTCGTGCTCAGGTGGATTTCCCGGGCGTGGAAGGTGGTGCCCGCCGATCTCATCAAGAAGGCCTTCCTCACATGCGGCATCAGCAACGCGCTTGACGGGAGCGAGGACAAGCTGGCGATGGCGCACATGAGGAGCCAGCTTACGCACGAGATAGACGTCGGTGACGAGATTCAGGCCGATGGCTTCTTGGGCAACAATTGCCAAGAGCCTGAGCCCGACGAGGAGGACGACCTCCCCTAGGCTAGGTTAGGTAGAAAAGCCTTGTGTAGGCTTCTATTTCAGTTGGTAAGTGGCCAAACTGTCACCGCTTATGCACGTGATGCATAAGCAATAACAGGAATACAAGGGGTGAAGGAATAGTAATAGATGATAACCTTACAATTGCATTTCAAGTAGATTAATGAGTAGTGTAGAGTGTAGCGAGGTTACTGTTGGAATAGGCTTAGAAGGGGGGGGGAAGGAATGTGAACGGTGGGGAAGTCTCGGGGGGGAAAGCCTCGAAGTGCGAAATGTGGGACGAAGGGCGAAATGTCCCAACCCCGAGCCGCGCATTGAGGAATGTGCAGCACAGGGTTGGGCAGGGTAAGGCCGAGCACTCACAGAGAACTTGTTGCTTGTTTCCTGGTATTCTCTCAGAATAGTGGAAGATATTGCTCTAAGCTTTGCACACAGCGGTACGCCACCAAGAGGGAACCAGTGGGGTGAGGGAGTGATCCCGTTCATACCAGGAAACAAGTGTAGGCACTTAGCATGGACAAGTATGAGTTACGATGGGGCCGGGTCTTCACTCGACGCGAAGAGGAAGGGCCGCGGCCCGAACGCTCGCGGGAGCGTGGGCGTTCCTTAGAGCGGTCGCCCCGAAGGCCAGCCTTTCGAGCTGATAGAGTTCCCATCGTGCCAGCCAGCCGAGAAAGAGAGGCGGTGCAAGGCGTACGTGGCGGTGGCCGACTCGGCGCGATGACGAGCGACGTGCCGTGGCGGAGGAATACGTTCCACCTTCGCGGTGATGAGCAGCGCCACCTGCGCGACGAAGGGGTGTTCCACTCCCCACAAAGGGGGAGTCGGCGGCGGGATGAGCGAGGTCGCTGGCGGAGGAGGGAGGGATTCCCGCGGGAGCAAGGAGTGGGCTCCGGGGTGCACTGGGCCGGACAGGATCCGCGGGCCGAACTGACGCGGGAGGAGCGTGACCACGAGGAGGCTGAGCGGGAGCTTGGCGACGGGCCGGCGTACGACGACGGGCAGTGGCACCTCGACGAGCAGGCGCACGGCGAGGAGCCGGAGCGCAGTGACGAGCCTGAATACGGCGACGAGCAGGATAGCGACGGCGAGCAGGAGCATGGCGGGGAACAAGAGCGCGATGAAGGGCAGGAGGCCGACGGCGAGCGGGCGCACGGCGGGGAACAGGAGCACCACGACCCGCGGCGGAACGGCGGCGAGCAGACACGCGCGGGACCCCACGTCCCAGGCGGAGTCGAGGAAGGAGAGGCGCAGGAGAGGGGGTCGCGTGCGACGGGCCCCAACCGTCGGGAAGGACAGCCTGCCCGCGATGCACCGCAGCCGGAAGGCCAGGCTCGAGAGGGAGGGACACGCACGATGCCGACGCGGGGAGTGCGCGGACGAAGCGAGGCTGAGGACAGACACGCAACGGGAGTCCAGCGTCGGCGGGCGGAGGCGAGCGACGGCGGCTCGCGCTCGTCAAGGGAACCGCTGCCAAGGGCCGAACGGTATGGGGGCGCGGAAGGAAGACGGGGAGGAGCGGAGAGCACGGTTCGCTCTGGGGCGCCACCGCGGGCGCTGGGAGGAGGCCATGGGGGGGAGCATCACTCGCCAGAAACGCGGAGGCGTAGGGAGGGGCGGCGGATGGAGGGGTCACGTTCACCGCACAGGCAGCAAAAGTGGGGGGGGGGGGAACCAGAGGAGAATCACGGTCGCCCGACCGGCGCTGTTGACGGGAGGAAGGGCGGGAGGAAGCAGGACGCGTGCCGCCAGGCAAACGGCTGCAGGAGAGAAGGGAGTGGTCGCCACCCCCAGCGAGACATCAGCCGCGTGAAGCCGGCCCGAGGGTGTGGGAGCAGAGTCATTACTCGCCGGAACGACGATGAGAGCAGACGGGAAGGGGAGGTAGTCAGTGGGGACAGTCGGGAGAGGTGCGCGAAGGGAAGCAGGAGAGCAGGGCCAGGAGTGGCAGCTTGGCCCAGAGGGCTGAGCGAGCCCGTATGGCCAGAGAGGGACTGGAACGAGCAGGGCAAGGAGGGGGGTATGGGAGACCGCGGGGAGGGGCAAGTGAGTCTTGGGGAGAGGGAAGAGGAGGTGGGGCCACGGCGACAAGGGTAGAGGTGCCGGCCAGGTTCTCGGGAGATCAGAGGGCGGGGCCATCACTCAAGAACTACCTGATGCAAGTGGGGAATGTGAAGTATCGGTGCGACCGGAACGGCATGGACCCCATTGATTTCTTCCTAAGCCTGCCCAACACCTTAGATGGAGAAGCGGAGACTCTGTACCGTATGAGGATGGAGGAGCTGCTGTGGAGGGCGGGGAGGTATGGAGAGGACCCCACTGAAGCATTTTTTGAGTGGTTGCAACGGCAGTTCCCAGGGCACACGGCGGAGCGCATAAGGGAGTTTCAGGAATTCAAGCGAGGGAGGACCGAGTCACTGCTGGCGTATAACAATCGGCTGACCAATGTGGCCGAAGATGTGAGATGCACGGACAGCAGTCTCTTGATAAGCAAGTTCCTAGGCGGCCTGGACAAGGCACTAGGAGGCGGGCTGCGTATGAAGGTGTATGAGCTGGGCGCGGAGGCGAGCCTGGATGAGGTGTTCGAGCTGGCCGAAAGGGTGGAGCTCGCACAAAGGAAATATGAGGCGTATCTACCGTGGCAAATGGAGAGAGCCCGCCGGCCGACCTGGGCGGCAGCCATGATACCAGAGGACAGAGGGAAGGCAGAGGAGCGAGGAGAGACACGGGCAGAGACCAGGAACTGCCACCGCTGCGGGCAGCCAGGGCATCTCCGCAGGGATTGCAAGAACTGTGATGGGTGCGGGAAGCCTGGCCACCGCAAGCGAGAATGTCCGGATGCCGCCAAGTGTGAGGTGTGCAAGAGGAGGGGGCACGAGGCCAAGGACTGCTATCAGAGGGAAGGAGGAGCCAGGAGGAGTCCTGAGGATTTGCAGCGGCAGATCAGCAGGTTGCAGGCACAATTACAGGCAACAAGACCAAGGTGGGGGGCGGAGGCAGGGATGTACGCCAGAGACGAGGAGGGAGAGGAGGTAGAGCAAGACGTGCAATGTGCACTTATGGCATGGAGGGGAAGAGAGGAGATGGGGCTAAGGAGCGGGGGGAAGGATGGCAGGCGGGAGCAGAGCAGGAAGGTCCGGGGAAGGGGGCAGAACCTAGAGGAGCCAGAGGTGGTTCCGCCGCCAGCACGCCATCCACAGGAGAGGCTGGCATGTCAGACCTCAGTGTTGTTGCTGGAGGAAGGGGCGATGGAAGTGGAAGGAAAAAAAGTAAAGACTGCCATCATAGATACGGGGGCACAGAGTGTGATGCTGGGAAAGGGGATGGCTGAGAGGTTAGGGCTCTTGGCGCCGGGCAGGCATGTGAAAAAGGGGATGTTGGTGATGACAGCAGAGGGGGGGGAGCCGAAGTGGATGCCCTGCTCAAGGGCACCCATAGAGATGACACTACTGCCAGGAGGGGAGCATGAGACCAAGATCCGGATGAGATGTGGCATCTCCGAGTCTGAGGGCTTTGACGTGTTGGTGGGCACAGAACTGGTGTTCGCGGTGGGCATGACCATATGCACGTGGACCGAGAGGGTGGCATTCCGCACGCGGTACTGGAAGAAGGAGGGGCCACTAGGAGAGCTGCCAGTACGATTCGTGAAGGTGGAGCCCAAGAGAGCATACCAGGCTGTGGCGGGACAGGATGCAGAGACAGGAGAGGCGGGGGAGAACGAGGGAGTGTGGGGTACCAAGGGAGTGCCCAGAATGAGGATGATGAACGAGCCGAGGCTGCAGAGCGACTGGCAGCAGCCCATTCGCTTGGTGGAGCTGTTTGGAGGGATTGGGGCGGGGCTAGCAGCAGTGGTGAGAAGTGGGGTAGCAGTGCAAAAATGGGTGTACGTGGAACGCGCACCCGCGGTAAGGAAGATGGCCGAGCATCACGCGTGGAAGCTGCAAGCGGAATTCCCAGAGCTTCTAAGTGCAGGAGTCATCCGCGAAGCCATGGGGGGGGACAGCCACGACGTGGCACAGTTGACAGAGGCGGAAGTGGCCAGCTGGGGGCAGGTAGATCTGCTGGTGGCGGGGTGGGAGTGCCAAGGGGTATCATGGACAGGCAAAGAGAGAGGAAAGGGGGACCCAAGGACACAGTTGATGGAGGACCTCTTCCGTATCCTGGAGTGGCTGCAAGAGAGGCAGGGGAGAGTGGCCTACCTGGTGGAGAATCTGGACTTAGAGGGAGACAGTAGGGAGCCAGTACGGCTGGTGCGGGAGAGGATCAGGGAGCAATTGGGAGAGGGGGTGAGCAGCGATGCGGCCAGAATGGGATCACGGGCTCACCGACTGAGAATGTACTGGCAGAACATAGTCCCAGCTCCGAAGCTGCAGGAGGAGATAGAGGGGGTGAGGAGGGCTCCAGAGAGGAAAGTACAGGATATCCTTGAGCCAGGACGGACCCCAGCGCCGGTGGACAAGAAGGGATACAGCAGGCACTACCCTTGCAACCAAGTGGGACAGGAACGGCGAGCGCTGCCCACTCTGGTTGCATATGCAGGGGCGGCAGGGTATACATGGGCAGCGGGGGAGCCGGGCCCAGGACTCATCTACAATCACAGGAAGAAGCGGTGGGAAGAGCCGACCGCACTGGAGCGGGAACTGGCCTTGGGGTACGGGGAGAATGCAACGGCGGCTCCTGGGGTGAGCGAGGCTGACAGGAGAAGAGCCCTAGGGAACGCCATGGACGGCAACATGATGAGATGGCTGGTCCAGCGGATGTGGAGAGAGACGGTGATGAGCTGGGGGCAGGAGGAAGGAGTAGGGGGCACAGAGCCGCGCCCTCAGGGGGCGTGGGCATGCCAGGAGAAGGAGGAGGAGACGTGGAAGGTAGGGGAGGCGATGAGTGAGGAAGGGAGGGAGGCCATGGTGCGGCTGCTGACCAAGCACAGGAGGTGCTTTGCCTTCAACATGCAGGAGTTGGGGAGGTGCAAGGTGAAGGAGATGGAGCTGAAGCTGAACAGTACGGAGCCCGTGTTCCACCGGAGGAGGAAGATGCCACACGGGGATGAGGAAGTCTGCAAGGAGAAAATCAAAGAGCTGCTGGAGGCCGGGTTAATCAGGCGGTCGGAGTCGGAGTACGCCACGCCCACAGTCGTAGCTGCCAGGAAGGACCTGACAGGGAAGGTCCTGAGCAGGAGAATGTGTGGAGACTACCGGGCACTCAACAAGATCACCGTAGCAGACAGGTACCCCATGCCCATGGCGGAGGAGATATTTGACAAGTTGGCGGATGGGGTCTTCTTCACCACGTTAGACCTGAGGCAGGGGTTCAACCAAATCAAGATTAGAGAGGAGGATGTCAAGAAGACGGCCTTCCATGGGCCAGATGGGCTGTATGAGTGGCTATACATGCCATTCGGGCTGAGGAACGCATCGGCGGTGTTTCAGCGGGTTATGGATGCAGTACTGAGGGAGGTGGAGTGTGCGGCGTGCTACATAGACGACGTAGTGATCTTCAGTGCCACCGAGCAGCAGCATCTGCGGGATGTGGAGAAGACACTGGCGGCAATAGAAGCAGCGGGACTCACATGTCACCCCAAGAAGTGCAGGTGGGGTGAGGAGACAGTGCAGTACCTGGGATACGAGGTGAAGGGAGGACAGATTGGGATCCAGCAGGCTAAGGTAGAGGTCTTGGACAGGCTGCGGGAGCCAAAGGACAAGTCGGGGCTGAGGGCGGTGTTGGGCTTCCTTAGCTACTACAGGAGGTTCGTGCCCAACTTCAGCAAACGTGCAACAGCCTTGAACGGGCTGCTGAGGGAGGACAGGGCATGGGAATGGGGAGAGGCTCAGAAGGGAGCCCTGCAGGACCTTATGACAGCAGTGAAGACGGCAACTGTGTTACGGCTGCCAATAGCAGACCAGCCATTCACCCTCTACACCGACTGGAGTAGCCAGAGAATGGGAGGGATACTCTGCCAAGAGGTGCAAGGGGAGGAGAAGGTAGTGGCCTACGCGAGCAGGAGCTGCAACTCGGCGGAGGCGCAGTACAGCTCGTACATAGGGGAGGGACTAGCCGCGGTATGGGCGGTGGGGCATTTCAGGGTGTACCTGCAAGGACAGGAATTCACGTTGGTGACGGATCACCAGCCACTGACCTGGCTGATGACTACGCCGAGACTGACAGGCAGGAACGCACGATGGGCGATGAAGTTGCAGGAATACGACTTCAAGATTAAGCACAGGCCGGGGAAGACACTACAGCATGTGGATGGCCTCTCCCGCAACCCCCCACAGCTGGAACCGAGCGTAACCTTAACACTGCTGGCCAGACAGGTAGAAGTGGGGGGGGGCAAAGGGGGCAAGGGGCCGGCAGACATTTGGGAAGACGAGCAGGCCATGCGGTGGGTGAAGGGAGAGACGGAGGAAGATGAGGAAATGACGGAGAGAGTGAGGGCCAGGGGGCACCACTACAGATGGTATCAGCAGCAGTTGCAGATCCAAACCGAGGATGGATGGAAGCTGGTGCCAGCACCAAGGGACAGGGAAGCTGTGATCAAAGAGGTGCACACGAAACTAGGGCACTTCGGACATGAGAGGACAGTGCAGCTGCTGAAGACAGGATGATGGTGGGAGGGAATGCGGAGGCAAGTGAAGGGCTGGGTGGAGGGCTGTGAGGCATGTCAGAGGAGCCGGGCAAACCTCAGCCAGGCTAAAGCCGAGCTGCAGTCCCTGCCCATCCGAGGCCTAGGCTTCAGGTGGTCCTTGGATCTGGCCGGGGAACTGCCCCTAAGCAGGGGGGGTAAGCGCTACATCGTGCTCATGGTGGAACACGTGAGCAAGTGGCAAGAGGTGTACCTAAGGAAGGCAAAACAGGATACCTTGGACGTCGGGGTGGGCACAGAAAGGTGGCGGGTGAGGGAAGTACGCCCCTCGGGAGTACTAGTGTTGGAAAACGAGAAGGGTGCTCAAGTGAAGGAACACCAGACCAACACGGCTGTGGTAAGGGGCAGCAAGCCTCAGCAGGGTGGTCCTGTGACACGAGCTCAAGCTGCTCGAGCACGGGCACAGGAGGGGGCAGGGAGTGACTGAGGCAGAGCCACACAAAGAAGGAAGCGG